GTAAAAATTTTGGGGGTGGGTAATTTTTCTCGGGTCAAAATCTTGGGAGGGGGATCGATCACCATACTTTTCTTCTATTGTAGGTAACAGACAAGAAAGTAAAATCTTTACCACACTACCATTAAAACAAAGAAATAAATAAATAATTTGTAAAGAATTATTTAAAAATATAACAAATATTATAAGCAAAATACGCATAAAAATCGATTTTTTATGGTCTGGAAAAATTAAATTAGCATATTCTATAGTCAAAACACGAGCGAGATCGGTATAAATTATCCTTTAAATAATTTAATTTAAAATATATTTTAATGAGAATAAATAAATTTAAAAAAAAATTAATAAACAGTAGAATATTTTTTTTTAAAGAAAAGACAGTAAAGAATTTATTTTAAATGCGTGTCATTTTAATATAACAGTTTTAAAAAAGCACTCGAATGATTAAAGTAAATTAACATGTTACTAAATATATATAAAATGCGTTAACAGTATATAAATATTGCTTAATATTTATTCATATAAAAGTAAAGATAAATAAGCTTTTAAACATAACTAATCAACACTACTGTTATGGGAATTATTAACAATGCTAAGAGTGTATACCTTGAATACACAAACTGTCCGGTTGCTATAGTTACATTTAAATATAATTAAATTTTATGAAATTATCTTAAATTTAATAGAGATATTTATCATTTTATCAAATAAAAATCTGCCAAAATATTTTTTAATTAATTATTATTATTTTTTTCTTTTTACACAAAAGAATTCGGTGTCAGGTGAAGACGTGTGAGTTTTATTCGCATCCATATTTTTTATTCAGGCGCCATTTTCAATTAGATTTTAATAGATGTGACGTGTTTATTATATTTTCGACCAATTAAAATCTATATTTTCGTCATTTTTACTGTTTAAATTTTGCGAAATCGATCGGGGAATTCGAAATCAAATTTTGTAAACACGAGTAGAAAGAGCGCTTGCATGTGAAATATGCCATGTGTTCCGTAACGAGATGTCTCGTTGATATAAGCGAAAATTGACTAGAGAGTTGTATACCACTACATTAATACTGTATACTGTTTTTCTATTTTAATTATTAATAATCGGTATAGGTAGGGATTAAAAAAATATAATAAACAAAGGAGGATAAATATTGAAAAGGAATTCAAGCCCGATTTTCTATTATTATGATTATTGTATTTAAATAAATAAATAAATATATATATATATATATTTCCATCGTAATATTGTTAAAAATGAGTCTTAACATTGTCAGAAACACCTGCATGTGATATAGGCTAATGTATTTCTTCATTCTTTTAAGCCGTTTCGCTGTCAGTGGCAGATGTCTCTTGGTACGGATCCGGCCATTTTAGAATTTCATGTTTCTCTCTTATAAATTACACTTAATATTTTTTTATGTTATTTTAAAATAGTGTATTTTTATCCGTTTGTTTGATTTATAAAAATAGAAAACGTGTATGTACGCCCGGTGTTTTTATTTACATATAAATGCCGGTCGACCCACGTATAATGCGCACTAATGTCGACCTTTAATGGATGCGAGCTGTAATGAAATTGCCAAAAAAAACAATAAAAAATTTAGAAATTATTTTTCTCCGTTTTGCTGTATAATTCAATGAATGACAAAAATGAATAATGATCAAGCAAACATTGCGTGTTTTATATATATATGTACAGGACTATGTTTGCTACATAAAAAAGATTTTTAAAAAATACTTTGGTGTAGATGATTGTTCATTTACCAAAACTACTTTACTAAATACATTCCCCCCCTTGTTTATCTCTAAATATAGAGGTATTTTATAATAATTTTAAATATAATTTAACTAAAATACACTCTTCTTTAAAGAAAAAAAACATTCCTACAGGGTGGTCCAAAAGTCAGTCAACCAATGTCTCGTTGTTAACTGACTTTTGGACCACCCTGTACACGTGTAAATTTATCATAAAACTGTAATAAATATCGAGAATTTAGCTGTAAGTATGATATTTTTCTATGGTTTTTATTATTATTTTTTTTAATCATTCTCTCGTATATAAAACATAGAAAGGGGCACTTAGAATGCATTATAGAAGAATTTAACGATATTTATAAAATATTTTTATGACATAAATTCGATTATACGTGTCCATAAATGATACAGATGGAAGAAAATGCAATGTCCAGGTAGTTTCTCCAAGTGTTAGCATACTACGTTTACTTTTATCTACAAGAATTTTCTCATAAAATATTTGTGTACAAGTGTATAAATTTAGAATAGAAGGACAAATAAATATTCTAATTTTACTCTCTAAAAATTCACGCTCTAACTTAAAGGCAATTGGAAGAGAATAATGAAAATTATATAATTAATTAATTGATTTAATACACGATTTATCAAGTTGTAGAAATAGGTTAGAGTTTGATAAATTGCCGAAATGTTTTGAATATTAATCTAAGGAAACGACTTTATGAGACTCTGCGTTACTTTATCTCATTAAGAATTACGTTAAGTATTTACTTAGAAGCTTAATTAACTCCCCTAGATGAGAGAGGTCTTAATGTAAAATGGTATTAAGTATATTTGTCAATTATGTATAATTTTAATTAAAATTTTCACCTATTAATTATATCGATTGCTTCCGAGTAAACACGTATTAAAATTGTAATTTCTCTTCGGAATTTTCCTTAGAAAATGCACTTTTTTTAGTAGTAACTGCAGTCTTTACGTATGTACTGTACTAAATGGTATTGTTGTTGCAGTTGATGATTGTTATAACTTCCTATAACTGCTACTACAGTAAATAGGTTAATAAATAGTAAATTCTCATTAGTAAGTTAATCATCCTTAAGTTAATTCGGGCAATGAAACGGTTACTGCAATATTTAATTTAGTAGTAATTACTGTATCGGGGTATTCTTATTAATAGTAGAATGTCCTCTGGTAAGAAATTGTAGAAAATATTAATGAGAATAACTCTGATATTCCTAGTAATTAATTTAAAAAAAATGGAAGTGATATTAGTGAGAAGGGCAGACATCAATGTGACTATTAGTAGGAAAATTAGTTAGAAATCAGTAGGAACACCTCTGAAACTCCTACAAATTTTCTCATGGTTACCAATGTATTTGTTTTAAGTATCCAAGTCATTAAGTACAATTTTCTGTATGTAATTTTCAATAATAACAATACAACTGTACTTTAAACACGAGCCTTATAAGTAGCACAGCTGTTACATTTTCTCGAATTACTATTAAATTCTATTTAATAAATTAGAATAGCAGTTACCTTTTTTGGGTAATAACTGCTGTAACTATTATAACTTGATGATAAACTATAGCATTTGATAATTATCTGCTATAGTAACTGATAAATTATCCTCATTGCTGTAGTGGATAATTTACCATTTATTTACTACTGAACATTATTGATTGCTATAGACAGATATATTATTATTATTATTGAATTTATGAGTCATTCATTACTATTGAAAAGAACTTAGTTAAAATAATAATTAATAAAATTCGAAGAAAAATTGATTTATTAATTGCTAATTTTTTTTTCATTTAAAACCATTTATTTAACACTTAATGTAGTTAGAATTTTATTAAAAATATGATAATATCTGCGGCCCAAAAGTCAGTTTATCACGCGGACTGTTTTAATTCTTGCATTAAACAGGAAAGAACTCATCTGAAAGTAAATGAGGAATAAATTTAATTTTCACGGTGGTTAACTGACTTTTGGACCACCCCGCATGTAAAATATACATCAAACTCTCCATTAAATGATAGATTCTCATCTAAATTATCAGTTAAATAATTTTAATAGTAACTAACAACAAAATTTAGTAGTTAATTGTGATTAGTGATGGGTTTTTATTCTTTCTATTGCTCCATTTTAATATTGAATCGTTAAACTCTGTTCCGTAGTAACAATTCGATCATTTGCAATAATATAGTCAACAATTATCTGTATAATAAATAAATTTGTTGGCTTACTAATACAGGTAAATTATAATATATTTCAACAGTTTCTGCATAATTAATGTTGTAGCACGTACAGCAAAGAGATGCCAATTAGGAAGAGATGCCCATATTTATATTACCAGCAAGAATAATTGAATAAGTGATGCTCGCTCCTCTTAGAATTCTCTACCTACTAAACCTATACACAAACAACCATACATACAGCAAAATCCCCAACTTTTTTTTTTTCATTTCTAGACATTTTAAGGTCCCCCGAGTTCAAAAATGCAAAAATCTTGGAAGTCATTTTCTTCTTGGGTGAAAATCTTAAGGGAACCACTCGCCATACTTTCCCTCTGTTACATATACAGCAGGGTAAGTAATAAGTAATAATAATTTTAATTAAACAAAGAATAATATAAACTAAGCTACTAATTATTTTTAAAAAAATACGTTATATAATGAATTATTTACCATAATAAATCATAACCTTCAGTATCATCTTCTAATTTAACTAATAAATTAACAATTTGAACAATTATTAAATCTAAATAAGTAGCTAATAAATCATAAATTGTAGTAATTGCATTCACTTCAGCATGCACTAAATCATCTTCAAAGTTAAGTTACCTCCTTTAATATCTAGCAAATCGAATTTCATGCACGTATCAATAACATTCCTTGACATTTAAAGCACTTAAACTCCTTAATTTGTCCCCATTAAATAATAAATTTCGTGTTAAATAATGTTTTAACTTTCCCAATTTAATTTTTCTTGCAACTACGAAACTTATTTTATTCATTAAAATTACAAAAAAAAAGAGGGAATGAAGTTATGATTAATAATTTGCAGGAAGTAAGCAAATTATTGTTTAAGGGAATGAAAGTTTGCGTGTTTGATATTATCACGTTTCCCTTTTAACATTTTTTAAATAAGTTTTCTAAGAAAAATATCCTATCAAATGCGATATATTTTATTTACTACAACAGCATCACGATATTAATTAATTAATTATTGAAAATTTAGATTCAGTTTGCTACTCTACAAGCGTCGAAATCTTATCGAATTGTTTGCGAATCATTGAAGAAAATCCTTGAAAATAAATTGTTACACAATGATTTTTATTCTAGAATACTGAAATAAATCATTTTCTACAATTAATGACGCAATAATACTGAAAAATTGCCAGAGAAACAACGTAATCAACAATTTTCCGTTGCGAAAATGAAAGGAGGAAAAATGTAATTTACAATTTTATGTTGTCAAATTACAAAGAAAAAAATGCAATTGACAATTTTGTGCTGTGAAATTAAAAGAAAAAATGCAATTGACAATTTTGTGCTGTGGAATTAAAAGAAAAAATGCAATTGACAATTTTGTGCTGTGAAATTAAAAGAAAAAATGCAATTGACAATTTTGTGCTGTGAAATTAAAAGAAAACATGTAATTTACAATTTTATGTTGTCAAATTACAAAAAAAAAATGCAATTGACAATTTTGTGCTGTGGAATTAAAAGAAAAAAATGTAATTGACAATTTTGTGCTGTGGAATTAAAAGAAAAAAATGCAATTGACAATTTTGTGCTGTGGAATTAAAAGAAAAAAATGCAATTGACAATTTTGTGCTGTGGAATTAAAAGAAAAAAATGCAATTGACAATTTTGTGCTGTGGAATTAAAAGAAAAAAATGCAATTGACAATTTTGTGCTGNCGGGTTGCATCATGGCAGAAATGTGGACCAGAAGTCCGATCATGCAGGGACACAGCGAGCAGCATCAACTGACTTTGATCGGTAATTTATGTGGTTCCATAACACCCGAAGTATGGCCCGGTGTAGAAAAATTGGAATTATACAATAAGTTAGAATTACTGAAAGGTCAAAAAAGAAGAGTCAAAGAAAGATTGAAATTTTACATAAAAGATCCTCACGCTCTGGACCTCCTCGACCGGTTATTAATTTTGGATCCGAGCAAGAGAATTGACAGTGACAGTGCATTAAATCATGATTTTTTCTGGAATGACCCCATGCCTTGTGATTTAGGCAAAATGTTATCTAAGCATACACATTCAATGTTTGAATATTCCATCAAAAAAAGAATGGTTCAAAAATTTTGTCCTAGTCAGGTGCCACACCTTAAACCGGTACAGACTTCGTCCACGGATGGCCAGTACCACGACCGTATCTTCTAATGCATTCGTTACCTCGAGTTCATTTGATTTGATGTCAAAGGAACAACTTAAATTGTGATAGTTACTGTGATATCTGAAAGCTTTGTATCAATGATAAATGTTAAGAGAAATGTTATTTTTATAAACATTTTCATTTTGAATAAAAATTTTTTTATAACTGTTTGTTTTAAAATTTTGAAATTTATAGTACAGTACATTCATGTGTAGGTTGAATATTTCTTTGGTTAAACTTCAAATTAACAATGGTCCACCAATCAGATTTAATTAACCATCATCAAACTTTAGATATGTTTGATAATTTAATATGGTAACCAAATCTATTACAATGTAGATAAATTTATATTTAATTTCAGCTATTCTAATCTAACTGAAGATGTTTTTTAAAATTAAGTATAAAAAGACAGCTGAGGTTGAATATTTCCTAAATGCTTATTTCCAATGCATCAAATGGCAAATATAATTAAAATATTTAGTATCTTTACCTAATTAAGGCACTTAATCACTCTGGTAAGCAAGAAAGTGAATTAATATTTACATTTTTTAATCACTGCAATGACTTATTCAATTTTTCCCTTGCAATTAGACAATCTGTATTTTAAGAAAAAATTATTTTTGTTTAATCATTACTATAATTTTGGAATTGTTTCTTCATGCTTAGGTAGCACTTTCATATGAAATATATATCCAAATCCAAAAAAAAGGTTTTGTTTCTAAAATTGTAGAAAATTGTAGAATGTTCTTTATTTTCTTAAATATAGAATTTCGTGTAAATCTATTTAAAAGAAATTATAATTGTCTGATGTAAAATTTGCTATTTTAACAGATTTCTTGAAGATTCTAGCGGAATTAATTTTCGATTTCATCCTTTTTATTGTGAATTTAACAAGAGAAAATTGTAAATTTCACCTTTTTTTGTTTTGAAATTTACAACAAAATCTAGAATATTTTCTTGTAAATTTCATGACAGAATATTCTGAATTTATTTATATGTATATTTCATAATGTTTCTATATAGCTTTCATATGCTTCATTATTAAGGCACAGGCATTATTCATGCACATTTCATAGCATTATTACGTCATAGACATTATTCGTGCACATTTCATAGCATTATTACGTCATAGACATTATTCATGCACATTTCATAGCATTATTACGTTATAGACATTATTCGGGCACATTTCATAGCATTATTACGTCATAGACCTTATTCGGGCACATTTCATAGCATTATTACGTCATAGACATTATTCGTGCACATTTCATAGCATTATTACGTCATAGACCTTATTCGTGCACATTTCATAGCATTATTACGTTATAGACGTTATTACGTCATTAATTTAAAGAAAAATTATCTATAACTTGTGCTGTGGAATTAAAAGAAAAAAATGCAATTGACAATTTTGTGCTGTGGAATTAAAAGAAAAAAATGCAATTGACAATTTTGTGCTGTGGAATTAAAAGAAAAAAATGCAATTGACAATTTTGTGCTGTGGAATTAAAAGAAAAAAATGCAATTGACAATTTTGTGCTGTGGAATTAAAAGAAAAAAATGTAATTTACAATTTTATGTTGTCAAATTACAAAGAAAAAAAGTGCAATTAACAATTTTCTATTGCAAAATTACAAAAAAATGCAACTGCAATTTCTATCGCGGAATTTATAATTTACAGTTTCCTACTTCTTTTACATATCTACAATTTTACATACTCAAATTACAAATATTCTCATCATTAAAAAAAAAAAATGAAAAGCAAAAGCAAATTTAAAATTTATTCTAAAAAAGTTAATATTCTACTACTATATTGCTTAAAATAACTGAAAAAATTAACGTATCAAATGAGATTTCTAAGAAGATTCAAACTGCATAATTAAGTCGGTTGCATAAACTGTGTTTATATAATCCGAGTGACTCAATAAATGGCGCAACTTTCCCCATTAATCATTTTTGCCCCCCCACTCATAGATTTTCATCTCGACCTGAAGTAAATCCAATTTGCTGTAGGCATCTCCACGATTTACTAAAATAACTCATGTCGATATTGAATATGTTACTCGATATTGGTTCTTGATGAAATGCCAATTGGCAACAATAAAAATATAATTACAAAAATTCTTACTTTTATCTTCTAATTTTGTAAATTTTACTTTAAACAGAAAAAAATTACAGATTTTTCTTGATGGTTTTATAATAAAATATTTTACGTCTCAATTTTCTTACTGATTTTTTTTTTACACGGAANAAATAAAGACAATAAACGAGGAATGTCTTAATTTATTTTTAATATCGGGGTTTTGTTCTCGAAACCGGTTAAAGGTTTCTATTGTGATGATATTTATATCCAGAAACCGTTTCGTGGTGATACCATATCATTTCGAACTCTCATCATTGTGTCCTTAACTTCAACTGTCATACTGGTGAGTGATTCACGCTGTTAACTATCAACTGCTATTATTTAGAGTAAAATTAATGTTAGGATCTTATATATTGTGTCTACAACAATCGATTGTTGTTAAGATTGCTGGTTACAGCATCCTAGTTTCCTGGAATTCTACCTTCTATAGTAAAGTTGAAAGGAGGACAATGAAGAGTAATCTGCTACAGGAAACGTTTTTGTGTCCTAATACGTGACAGAACAATTTTGTTGTGTTGTTTTATTTAAAAAAATTAACTTTTTAAAGCTTTTTCTAACCTAATAAGCCTTAAATTTAATTGTGATCAAGTGAAATTTCCTTTCAGATTTTCATCAAAGAGCTGTTATCGTCGAGTAAACATGGAGGAAAAAGCTTCATTTGGAGATTCAAGAATTATTATAAGACTTATTCTTTGGGTCTAACGTACGTTGGTGCAATCACTAATATTTTAAAGTTCTTCGTCAGAGAACTGAGGCCACATTTTATAGATTCTTGCCGTCCTGATTGGTCGAACATTAATTGTTCGCAAGGGTAATTAAACTTCATAAGTTTCCTCGCACATAATAAATACATTGTTGTAGATAGTTGCGAAAGATCGCGACCCCGTTCTTAATTTAATTCTATAAAAAAAAAATTATGTTTATATTAGCGAAATTAATAATGATCAAGTTAATTTTAATTAAATTTAAATGAATTAGACGGAATATTTTAATGCATTTAAATATGACAAGTCTCATCAACGGATTTTTAATTTTAGAATGTGAAAATTAAATTTTCTAGTGTAATAATTTTTTTTAAATTCAATCTTCAAGATAACGAATCGATATTTATCAAAAAATACTATTTACCCTGGTTAGTTCCTTTGGTAAATTTTACACCTTCTACAATGGCTTGTTACTCATTCTCAACACGAACTTTTAAATATTATATCATCCATCACAATCGTCTTGGAGTGTTGAAAAAAAGTAGAAAGGAGAATTATCTAGTGAAGTAACTATTTGCAAAAGAAAATCACCAGAAATTGAAGGATCTCAAGTTTAATTTTGCAAAGAAATCCTGCTGTTTACTGGATATTTAAACCAGTTTCCTACTGAATTAACCTATATATGTATATACTCGAACAAATTTCTATTCTCTAAGGGTGTATATCGATCTACTTTTAGAACATAAAAAACGTTTCTATCAATAAAAAAATCCTTCAATCTTAAATTTTAAAGTCTCTATAAATCTGTACAGCTGATAGGATTTTTGTTTTTCTTTTTTAAAGAATTTCTAGATTGTTGTGATAATTTTTACACTTAATTTTCTATAAATACACGCGTGTGTAAGTAAAATAAAGAAATTAGAATANATGAAAGCCTAATAATAATAAAAAAATAATCCTCTAGTTGAATTGATAACAGGTTGTCAACTGACGTCACAGTCTGCAAAATCTAGACATGTCTGACGTCATCATTAAGATTATCGCCCCCTCAACTGGTAGGAAAAAAAAATGGCGAAGGTGATAAATGAGTCACGCGAAAAGAAGAATTTTTTCCAGTTTATAAATCGTCTACAAAAAAGATAATTCTTTCTAACGAACTGTAATTTTGTGGATCGTGTTCTCTAGTTCGATACGTAACACGATACCAGTAACATTTTTATGTATTTTCAAAAATATCTGTGCTCAGTAACAATGCTGCAATCGCCTGTAACCAACCGTAACAGCGTAACGTGCACACTCCCACGTTTAAACAAAGGACTTACACAGTAGAAAGAAAGATTCCTGAATGACCTCGACGCTATTGCTTGCTTCAAACCCATAAAAATGCATACGAAGTTTATAAATATCGATTTTTTTGAGTATTTTCTGTTAATTTAATAGTAAAACTCGGGCCATTCTCGAGATTAATCAATTTGAATGTCTTACCACTTCTTAGTACTAGTACACTTGGCGAAAGTCACTACTTTCAACAAAGCAAACATTATCTGATCCCCTAAGGCAACCTAAATCAAGTTGTATCACCAAACTTACTCCAGTTTTCTCATCACGCCCATACAATACAACTCCAAACAATCTAGAGAATAAAAGTTAATTAAAATTGTAAAAGAAATTACATTTATTTTTTTATAATTCCTTCCGCCATTTTGTATCTTACAATTTATTTAACAATTAATTCTCTTATGAGGGGTGAGAGATATAAATATTTTATGTACTGCTTGAGTTAAATCTGGGAATGCTGTCTGGTGTCTTATACTTAAAACATTGTCATCCGCGCAGTGTTTACAATCGAGTAATTCATGCGTTACATCCGTTTGACGATGCTTCAACAATAGGATCCACTTTATGTGTAATCGAGTATTGCATAAGCTGAATTGGCATTTTCTACATAATGCACTCGCCGTGTTTTATTGTAATCTCTACAACAGAATTTATCACTTTTATGGGTGACATGACCTGTGATTCGCTTGTAAAATCTACGTTATAGAGCGTGACATAAAGGTTATTAACTTACTTAATCAATTAAATTAATGCGGAAACGTACTTGAGTATAATACACAAACCTTTAGCAATAGACCTTCGTACAATATAGAAATAAAGACAATAAACGAGGAATGTCTTAATTTATTTTTAATATCTTAAGAATTCTCTCTGAAATTTTAAACCTTTACTCTTCCATTATAAAGTACAAACGACTTATCTTACTTTTTTGTAACTTAATAATGGATGCTGATTTTGTTTCGTCTAAAGTCTTGCTTGCGTATTTTTTTAATAGATCTTAATGAAAGTTATAAGTTAAAAAATAATAAGAGGCCATCCATAAATCACGATCCCTGAAAAGGGATCGGGTGAGGGTCGAACTGGTATAAGCTTGGACACCATAGGGAGAATAGATTTGATTTATACATATGCCCCATTTTTTAGATCATTTTTATAGTGTTTATTTTCAAGGAGGAGAGAAAGAACATGAGGTTTTTAGTATCTGGTGATATCTCTACTAAAAAAAATCCTCATGTCTTTAGTAGGCCGAGCGGTTAAAATGGCAGCCTACCTCTTGGGGGAACTGGAATCAAATCAAGAAAGGTAAAAATAAACCCACGAATTTTTGTTAGTGATCCGTCAGGATATGTTCAGACCCGTCCCATTGTATCCTGGCTGAACCCATAATAAGCTTGCTAAAAAGTAGGCTCTCTCTAGTGCCCACGGGGCAGTTTCAAAAAATGTAAAAATAAATATATAAAAATAAAAAAAAGGAGAGCAACTTNGTTCAGACCCGTCCCATTGTATCCTGGCTGAACCCATAATAAGCTTGCTAAAAAGTAGGCTCTCTCTAGTGCCCACGGGGCAGTTTCAAAAAATGTAAAAATAAATATATAAAAATAAAAAAAAGGAGAGCAACTTTAAAATTCTCAATTTAGAACACGTGATTTATTGATGGCCCCCTAACAATTTCTTTACCCCGTTATGCATTATTAACTTCCTCAATTTCTATCAACACTAACACCTGTAAGTTAGGTACGATATTGATTCAGAGGTTTGCATGCTTTTTAATACTTTACTCAGTTGCAAATTCGTGTTATATAAAAATTTACTTTTATTCCAGGTTGGTGACTAAATACAATTGTACCGGTAATGGTCCCAAATGGCTCGTTGACAAGGATATTTATCAATCATTCCCTTCGGGACACGCTTCTGTATCTTTCTACACATTTGTCTTTGTTTTTGTAAGTGTTTACAATCAACTCAAAGAACAGAAAAATACTTTTCGGCAAATAACTAAATGTGTTTTTATTTTTATTTTCAGTTATATACTAGAAGTAAATTTCGTGAAGAATCGAGTCAAATGTCATATTTATCGAACGTTGTCCAGTTTTTCTTCTTCTCTTGGGCAATAACTTGCTGTGTGACTAGAGTGACTGATTTTCGGCACCATTGGTGGGATGTGGTTTTAGGAGCTTTACTCGGGGTGATAGGTGCAATTTTAACTGTGAGTAATGTGCTTTGTTAAGGGGTATTCGAGGAAAATCGCTTTTGTCCCTATCGCTATCGCAGAGATTCAATTGTGACTTTCAGTGTTTTCTATTGATAACTATCGGGGGCCACTATTATAATTATAACTGCCCTGTGGGCACTATGAAAGCCTATTAATCATGCCAGTATTCGTAGTTTGGCCAGGCCCACAATGGGGCGGCTGTGTGGTGAGAGATGAGGTGACATATCCGGGATAGACCGCTCATGAAAAAATCCTAGAATCGATTCTGGTGCCTCACATTGTCGTAATTGTCTACCTATAATTTTAATCTATAATTCCTTGTCATACGCCATTTTGTTTTAAAAATGGCGACTTTGTAATATTTTTGGCCGAATTTTTGTGATATATTTATATTTCGTGTACCGAAAAAAAGTATTAATCAACAATAGGGTGGTGGCAGTGTGTGAAGCGAGACGCCCTCTCATGGGGGGGTCCGGTTTCGTGACGCGAACTGAAGTCTTCTCCTCTTTACGTAATCCCGCTTAGCTCACGCGAGGAGGAAATTAAAACGAGGCGATGCCATAGTTGACAAAAGTGATTTTCTAACACCAACAACATTAAGCACTAAACTAAACACGAATTTATCCGCAGGTTAAATACGGGTCTATCAATTATCTGGCAACAACGGATAAAGATCACCAACGCTAGTGTTGCCATCTAAAGGGGTGGAGCGTGCCACTTTATTCAGAAATAATAGTAAAAAATCGGAAATAATGGGGACCAAATAACAACAACGACGACTGAAGAATGGAGGCGAAGTTCGAGTTGCCAAGAATTGTTTAAGCTATTTTCTTATTCAAAAAAAAAAAATATATATATATAATAATAATAATAATCTTCAATAACTGCCAATTATAAATTAATCTTGTTGCTGTGATTATCGTGAGATGTACGAGATGTTGAGAAAATTTCATGAAATCAACGAATAACAATAATAAAATATTAATAATATCAACAGAAATATTGCTCCTATTGACAATTTTCTGTGATTTTTATTTTAAAACGTTTAATTTTATATATAAATAAACTGTGAATATATGTGTGTATGTGTGTGTGTATTTGTCAGTCTGTGTGTTTGTATGTATAATATCTCGGCAATAAATTTGTCTCGTGGACTTGCGTGATGTACATGTGTGTGTGTATATATATATATAACAAGATTTTATATCTTTAATTTTATGCTATGAAACTTTAACAGAGTTTACAATAAAAAAAAATTATGTATATAAATATACTGGAATAACCTTATGGAAGGGTTATTTTATGAAATATGTTTTAAACACATCCATTATCATATTCAGAATAATTTATAAATGTTGTACATTTATATTTAATAATAAATAAAAGAAAACTATGTTAAATATTTTTTTTTTCCATAATTACGTTTTAGAATTTAATTTTTTCCCTTTCAGAGTTATTAGTTTCTTACGAAATTTTTCACTCTATTACAGGAAATTTCCCTGTAAATGTCCCCACGAAAAGAAAATATCCCTATGACTGAAAAATCTAGGGAAATTAGATAAATTTTCTTCCAATTTTATATAAAAATTTTCCCTCTGAGGGGAATTTCCCCACGTCAGGGAAATTTTACATATATTCGAGAAAAGATTTTCTTTTCTGAATTTTGTATTCTCTTCAAAATTGTGAGGAGAAAATTTTGTAAATTATTTCCTTAAAATGTAAAAATATTTAATAAGCAATGCTAAAGGTAAAAAATCATGTGGAATATAGCAGAATTCATCTAAAAATAGCAAAACAAGGGGGAAATAAGAATCATCAAATAAATTATGTAGACAAATGGAGAAATCTTTTATTGAATCAAGACATGAGTGGAATACGTAGTTATAAAGATAACTTTTAAGTACCTTTTGATATATTGAATATTTCATTGCTACATAAACTATTAATTTTTGCAGATGCAACTATACCGGGTGGTATAATGTCACTGACAGACGTCTCATAAAAAATATAAGTCCAATTTAAAAAAAAAAAAATTGATCGGTATAAAAGTTATTTATTTTCGAGGGGCCTTTTCAATTTCGTAAAAATTAAAGCCAACCCCTTTTTCCTATAAGGGGGCAAAAGCAGGCTTTAATGGCTTATTCTATGGGGTTGTTTTATTTTATTTCCTTATCCTAAAGTCGCCTTGCCCCCTTATATGAAGCAGGGGCAACTTTAATATTTCAAATGAGACCTCCTATTTTTTGGATTATCTCCGAGGCCCCTAGAAAATAAGTAACTTTTATTCTGTTGAATTTTTAAACAGGGTGCACGTTTTAGAAGCTAGACCAGGGGCATTATAAATGGACCATCCCGTATAAAAATTCTAAAAGCTAGAGAAAAGTAGTAGTATTAGTAAGGAGAAAAATTCTTAAATGTACATTTTCCTGTATTTATCATGATTTATCTTCTTCGTGTAATTTAATTATAAATTTAATAGTTTTCAGGTATTTATAGCTTAGTAGCAGTAGAGATATCTAGAAATGTAGAAAGAGAAAAACAGTATCGATTCAGAAAAGATTTTATACAGATCACGACGTTAAACTGAGGATTTATAATGCGTGACACAATTTTATTCGTTGGAGAAAATGCAATAAAAATAATATATATATTACTTTTTCTTGTGCAAACGTTAAATTTAATTTTTCGGTATTTTACTTTAACTCAACTAAAGATAAAACTAATAGCATTTTACTCATATAATAATCATTATAATAAATTTCCCTTTCTATTGAGAATTAACTTGATTGGGGAAATATTATAGGTAATTTTCCCTACAAAAGTTAATGTTTCAGAGGGAACTTCGCTAATATTCTAGATAAATCGTTAATAATATACCAAAAAATTTTCCCTAATTTTAAAGAAAAATTCGTTATTGTATAGGGAAATTACCCACGACATTACGGAATTTTTGGGGAAATATTTAACCAAATTGAATATCTCTCTGAAATTGTAAAGTAGAAAAATCCAATCTCAAAGAAATTTCCTATATGAAAATATTACGTAAACCTTATAAAACATTTCTTACAGAAATATTCCTTAGTTTTCTATAGAATTTCGTTAAATTCAGTACAAATTTTCAGGATTAGTATTAGGCTTATTAAACCTCATCAGCGAGACGACCAGATAGCCAAATAAACCCCAGGATTTTTTCGAAAGGTGGCCCGTCTGCAGTGGCACGTTATCCTGTGAGCAAAATTTAAATTTACCTGGGCCCCAGGAAGCTACAACGCGCCAATGTCCGTCCGTACAATCCCTCACCATCCCGCCTCCCAACTGTGGGCCAGGCCTACAATGGGGCGTCCGGATTGCGGGTTTGCTAAAAATAAGGCCTTCTTAATGCCCACAGGGCGGAAATAACCATTTAAAAAACCTCATCAGCGCTTTGCATATCTGTTTAAAGAAAGTAAGGATTTTTTATTCTATTCTGAAAAATTATGAAACGACTAAACGAGGGAGCCAAACTTGGCCAAAGAAAAATACTCTGCTAAAAGTTACATAAAATTTAACCTTTCTCGTTATCGATGTAGTAAAAAATAAATGAGTTTCTGGCAGAGACTACAACTCTTTATGATAAATTTAGTAGAAATTTCCTGTAAAAATTCCATCTGATAATATGAGATACTTAAACCAGCTTACATGATTTTTCCCTAAAATCCTGACTAAATTTTATAGAAAGGAACAGTAACTACAGAATTTTATTTATTTATTTATTTATTTTCTCCTATTATGTTTGTATTTTATCGACAGTTAAACGACTTGGCTAACAATTGTTCGTATTTTTTTTTCTTTGTTAAATAAAGCACGAAATGGGAGTGAACTTTCGTGTTAACTAGAGAAACGAAATAATAAAATAAACAGTATAACAGCTGATCTAAACTGATTGTTTGCGAACAAAGAGCAGCTGCACAACGTGATAAAGAGGAAACTATCACAATATATATATATATTTATTTATTGTGGGCACTAGAGGGCATTTTTTTCAATCCATCGTGGGTTCGACCAGGTCCACAATGGGGCAACTATGTGGTGAAAGACGGGTTCCACATATCTGGTACTTACCAACTGCTCATGAAAAATTCCTGGGGTTACTCTCCGGATTAGATACGGATCCTCATTAGATCCCAGATGGTCCCTTAATCGCCTCAGTCATCCGGTTAGTGTTCACACTGTCCAATTTCCAATAATGGTTAACTCTAAACCAGTAGCCATTTTGAACAAAAAATGTATAGAAAATAATCTCCGAACAATGATCACTGATGCGAATATAAAAATGGCCGCTGTTCCCGTTAATGGTAGAGGTTTGACTGTATTTATATAAAATTGTGAACAGAAGAAAAATCCCTAAAACTTTTGGAAATCTTAATTCTATAGTTTTCTCTGTTTTCACGAGTGGAAAAAAATTGTAAATTAAATTCTCCAAATTAAAAAGAAAGAATTTACATTAAAATTGTGAGGGAGAAAATCAACGAAAATTTCAATTAAAGTTTTCCCTCTACTTTTTTAATTTTCGAAAAACTGAATTTTATTTTCATAAAATTATACATCGAGAAGGGAAAATTGCGGAAATTTCCCTAAATTTAAAATTAGGAAAGAAAATTTGTCGGAAATTTCCCTTCTCTATAGGAAATATCCCTTAAATTTACAGTAAATGGGCAATAATATTTGAAAAGGTCAAAGAAACTTTTAAATTGATGGGTAGCTGACCTTTGAAAGTTTTCAGTCTGTTGACAATATCGATTTAGAATAACTCCATCTCGCATATCAGATATCGTGATAACACGATAAGAAATTCTAAAAAATTCTTATCGTTAGTAATATTTTTTAAACGTTAAACTTCACACAGTTTAACCTTACGATAAATAAATATTAGTTTAATCGTATGTTGTCACTAAAAAAAAGGGGAAAAAAAGGAAATGTAAACAGAAGAAAGTTTGGGATGTTTAATAATTACATCGAGGAAAATTTAGCTATCAATATTGGGGAAATTCCCTACATTAAAAAATTTTGAAAAATAAAGATTTTTCTTAAATATTCTAAACTTGAGAGGGAAAATCTGGGGAGAAATATTTCTACGATATTTTTGCAGGATTAATGTAGGGAAAATTCCCTACATGTTAGAGGAAAATTTTTTTCTCTAATTTTCTAAAATTGGTATAATGAAAATTTTCTAAAACATTAAAAAAATTTTTTTGGAAATATTTCTTCTCAATTTAGCAGGATTAATATAGAGAAAATTCTGTAAAACATTAAGAAATTTTGGGGAAAATGTTTTTCCCTAATTTTGCAAAACTGCAAGAAAATCCTTCAAATTTTTAACGTTTTCTTAATGTTATAATTCCCTCAATCAAAGGATATAGGAGAATAATTTGCTTAAATTTTAAACGGGATTTTTACTAGAATATCTGACAGAAAAACCTCTCGTTTCTTTGCTTTCTAGATTTCCTCGTATAAACAGTTTGTAATTCGTATACATCTATATTATTTACGACCAGTTTATGGTTTCCAGACAATTTGTTTACTTCCCAATAAATTACTTACTATTATTTTTTTCTGGTATTCTTAACAGTTATTGCTGAAGATTTTTTAAATGCTGTCAGTTTTCGCATCTTGTATTAAGCTATTGTTAACTATTACATTTTTAATCAGTATTTATTTAAATATTTTCTTAAATACTACTGTACTGTTTAAGTAGGCACCAGATAAGTTAGCATTTTCGATTATCCGGTGCCATAGGTACCGGATTAGCGAACTTCTAGCCTGGTTTCAACAGCTTGTGTTTGCATACCCGTGGCGAACATTTCATTAAAATTATTTAGGCGAAGAAGTAGTAAAGATTAATATCGAAGTAATTACAAAAATTCCCTCCCTCTCATCTCACTTTCCTGCTAGCAAGTAAATTAATATGCCATCTGAACACGAATTTTTAATAATAGAAACAAATGTAAAATTCTCATCGCTACTATGAAATAATATAATTATTTAAATAAGGATTTTATAGTAAAGTATATTTGAATTAATTACTGTATTTAATTTAGATCTACAATGAATAAACCTCGGTAGCATAAGTACGATTACATAAAGTACATTTCAATGTTGCTTCGTAACCATGAACTGAGACATTATTAATTTACGTAATAAATAAAAGATTATAATAGAAAAATGAGGGGATGGAGGTGTTTCAGTAGTGTTAGTGACATACGAATTTGTTCTTAAAAGCTTACTTAATACTCGTGTGAATAATCTATCAGAAAATATTTGCAGAACTCAACTTTTCAATGTCGGGATCCTTGAACTACTGTATTGTACAGGCAATTAAAAAGGGGGATGTTTGCCAAAAGTATATCATTGTACACTACAGGAGGAAGGTCAGAAGTAGCAGAAAAACTGTACATATGTGGACAGGCCTTACAGGGTTCTAGAGGAGTTTACAGGGTTTAGAAAGTTCTGAAGAACCCTTTAATTAAGGAACACAGCGAATTTCAGCAATACAAAGATTATGAACAATGAACCGAGAAGGTTCTTTAGAGGGCTCTCCTCAAACTTCTTTAAAGTAAATTCCTCCAGAGGATTCTTTATTCGCATTTTTGCACTGAACAGAGACTTTCTGCTATTGGTTTGTAACCATAAATAATTTATTCATTTTTCTATGTTATCTATAGTCAATTTATGCACCATCATACTAACTTTACCAAAGCATTTATTATTAAAAATACACTAATTCATAGATAAAAGCTGCAATGTTATCATAGCTTAACTAAGAAAAATACTTACGAAAATTTAATAGGGAGCCCCAAAAACCTGTATTAAATTAAAAAAAAAAAAACTGCTGTTACTCATTAACTCGAATATGATCGCAACACATCACAACCCAAAATAAGAATGATAACCACACGAAGCCATATGACCTCAGAGGCACAAACGAGGGAGGTTCCTGTTAATTAACTAATCTCAAACACGCAGTTTCTTTATAGAAACATGACTACTGCCTGACTAAGGTTATAATTACATAAACGTGACTGGAAAATTTAGCATCCTAGCTCTTCTAATGTCAATATGTGGCATAATTTTGTATTATTTTAACGTTAAAATTTTCATGGAAGAGGTTTAAAACGATATAAACATTTGGATGTGAGGAACTCTTTAATAATCCCAATTATGCATCAATTAACTTAATTAACTCGTCCGTTAGTCTTTAAACTAAACAATTTCCGATTTTAGTGAATGTTTTGCAACTTAAACAATTTAATGATCAAGAATTCTCACCGGTTTATCATGCGTATCATCATCATCATCATCATCATCATCTTTCTACGCGTTGAAAACAGGTACCGGAACTTCTAAATACCTAATAAATATATACAAATATCAAAATTAATCTTTAAAATATGCAAAATATAAAGATATATATATTAATATTTTAATAATAAATTGATATAAAAGAGCGATGAACTTAATAGCTTCTATTTTGGAGAAATTTATTTTTAGCCACCGAACGGAATGAGATTTTAAACTATAAATAAACATGGTCTAGACTTAGTAATGATGAAAAAAATTTGTTTTGCAGTGTTTTAGATGATATTTACTTCAATAAAACTACTTTAAAATTCAATCTGTGTATACGAATTAAGCAACAATAACTGGAGCAGTTAGGAGTTATGAATGTAATCCAACTAACTGAATTGACTTTGAAGGTCGTTTCTATTATCTGTTATATAGTTATATTAATTATCTCTCAGGATATGTTATCATCTGTGACATTGGGGCCAGCAGAATACCTGTACAAGCGCAACATAACCGTGACTTGTATAGAAATCCCGAGTGACTAACGTAAAAAAATAACTAAAGTTCCACACGCAAAAAAAAGCTAACTGTGAAAATGTATTTGTTTTTTAAATATGCTCGCGAGTTTAAACCAACGATTAAGCGAGGAATTATTATAATTAAGTGGTATTAAATGCTGGAAAAGTTTAACTTCCACGCGACTTGGTGTAATTAAGATACAAAAGAAAGAGAGGGAACAACCAATCACAACTCATCTACTGACCAGGATGTTGATTCCCAACTTCCTCTGAAAGTCGTTAAAAGGGCGCAAGGACGATAGGTAGTGTGTCAAGCTAGTGTTGTTGGAATAGCAGTCGAGTAGTGTTGATGGCAAAGCAAAACAGTCGCTTGATCAAGGTGTGCTTGGACGTTGTGTTCTGTGCAATAGGTGAGTGCACTCTTCTATACGCTACACGTGCGTAATGGAGTATTTTTTAAAATGTAATTTTAAAATAAATACTCAATTACTCACGTGCATATTTGCTTAAATGTAATTTAAGTAAATTTGCAGGATGTATTCACTTTGTTTTGATCACAAAATAAGGAAAGTAATTACTCTAACATACACTATCTTATAAGCTAAATAGAATAATAGCCTGTTAAGAAAGAATGTAAATATCAGTTTAATTCTAATATATATATATGTCTGTCTGTAACTGTTTTCAGTTGGTTTCCCTCTGTTAATATTCTATGTTGCTGGAAAACCTTCCATTAGAGGGTTCTACTGTGATGACGATTCAATCCGTTATCCTTTTGTTAAGGATACCATATCCAATATGTGGCTGTATGTTATAGGTATAACTTCCCCAGTTATTGTGGTAAGTGTTACTTAATTGAATGAATAATACTGTTATCTTGCCAGTTCTAAAATTTGCATTCTTCTCTATTTAAGATAAGCATCACTGAAAGTATAATCTGTGTAAAGAAGATTGAGTGCCAGAACAAAAATCAGTTTTTGATACACAAGTTTCAGATCCCTCCTCTGGCCATTCTGCTGTACAAACAGATAGGAGTCTTCCTCTTCGGAGCGTGTGTCTCTCAGATACTCACCGACATAGCTAAATATACTACGGGGAGGCTAAGGCCTCACTTTATAGCGGTGTGCAGGCCCGACGTGAATCTCACGAGCTGTTTGCAGTATGGATATCGTTACATAGAAAATTTTAACTGTACAAACCCGGATTTATTCACGGTCAGGGAAGCCAGGTAAGTGCAATAAAACTAATATCTTACTCTACAAAACATAAATTATAAGTCTCGTCAGTCGTATCTTCAATTATGTAGACACAAAAATTATATTTTTAATTGATTAATGCTTGAAAGAAGGTCATAACCATTCAAAAGATAAGATAAAACTTCATAAGTGGTTTTTTTATGTCAGTTTATCAGTTTTGATTCATTACCAGTTCAAAGTTTATCAAATTTGAAGTGGAAACAGTTAAAATATACTGAGTATTAGTAAAATAAATGTAATTTAATTATTATTTTAAGCTCAATTTATAACTGTAAACAGTATAATTCTGTTTTATAAATAACATTAAATAACTATTATAACTTGTTAAACTTCCTTCAACAGAGGAAACTTTGATTATAATCTAATAAATCTATAATTATATAAAAATTACAATTAATTTTATTCTAAATAATTGTTAGAAATATACATTTTTTATTAATTTCAGCATTAAAAAATTATTAATTCACCTACCAGCCAAAATAACATAGTTAAACAATGTTGAATATTTTATGTACTTTTTATTTATTTTAACTTGTGAACAATTTGTTTACATGCATATTTATACATTTTTAATAAAAATCATATTAAATTTAATACTTTATTTATATCTTTTGAGCTTAAAAATATTAAATTTAATCTAAAAACACCATTTTAGTCATCTGTAAACATACTCCGTCTCGAAGGATCTCGACACTTTCCGACTGCATAATGAATTTCTAAGAACCTGTAAAGCTGAATATTTTAGCATTATTTAACATTTTGAATTTAAATTCTCTATTCTAAGATTGCAAAGTATCTTTTGTCAACTGCATTGAAGTAGTGTAATCATCGCAAAGGATTAAACTGTCGAAAGATTAAACTTGTTTACCGAAAATTCAAAGACTGGCGATTATATTTTAAAATGTGGATTATGTATACATCAGTTGCAAATTTCCTATACACGAGACTGTCTCTTGGATATCCTGGTTATAGAATATCTAGATGACAAATTTAGTGAGTGACGAAACAATATGAATTCAATAATGCAGCAATGTGCAACAAGCTTTTGATACAAAGAATATAAAATATCTCATAATAACTTTGATTTATTCTTTAGAATTTCATTAAAAAGTGTCATAAATAAATGGAACTTCAAAGAGATAATTTGAAAAGAGGGTTTTGATAGGTTTTGTCTTTTTTGTAACAGTTGATATATTCTTAATAGTTGAATAGCAGTGCTGTAGAATTTTACTACTTGGTTTTTAGTCTGACGTAAGCTACAAAAGCTTGAGAATGCTGCAATAATGTATCCTTATAGTCCAGACTTAACATGTGACAGTATACTTTAAAAGAGACTGACTTAATCTGAAGAGTATACACCTTTGGCGGTATTAGGTATATTTTTAAATAATATACATGTAATTAGTTACAGAAATAAACATTTCTTGATACATGTCATTATTTATCTTACTATACCCTTAAAATGCCTATTTTACTTATACAGAATATAAATAAGTATTTGTTTCATATCAGTACAAATTCGGAATGACTCAAGCTGTACTGAAAGTTATGCTAAAATGTGTGAGAAATGGGATAACTCAATCCTCTTAAACAAAAACACTTTGTATTTATGGGGATGCAAGACAAAATTTTAAAAATAAAGTGAAAGATTAAGAAAGATTAGGAAAGGCTCCTTTAAAACAAGTGAAGACATACAACTAGCTTTTAGAAACTGTTTTAATGAATTTCAACTCTGTGTTGATGAATATATGCAGAATGATAGAAAGATTCCTATAGAATATGGAGAGAAGCATGCATTTCATGGTCTCTCTATAGATAAAGCATGTTTAAATACTGATTCATCATGGTAAATTTAGATATTTTTCTTATTTTGTAAGATCGATAAGTCAAGAAAGTAATTAAATATAATTTCTTTTTATGTATAAACAAAATAACTTTTAATGTTTTAGGTTATCTTTCCCTTCCGGTCATGCATCATTCTCTTCATATGCCATGGTATATATTATAGTAGGTATCTTGCTGTGTTTTGGTTAATATGTCATAAAAATGAATACTAATAAAACTTTTATTCTTATTTTTTAATTTCAGATATATCTACAACACAGAATGAAGTTTGAATATAATAAACTACTGAAGCCATTTCTCCAGTTTCTAGCACTTGCAACTACTTGGTTCATCAGCCTGTCGCGGATATCCGACTATAAACATCACTGGAGTGACGTCCTAGTCGGAGGAATTTTAGGCACTTCTGTTGCAATTATCGTAGTAAGTTCTTTGAATTTATTTTAATAAAATTAAATATTAATTTACTATGAATAGAGCAGTTTAAAGGCAACCCATTTATGTGACAGTGACAAATTTCAGTCATTTTGTATTCGGCGCAAATGATTAATTAATAGGTTATGTTATGAAAAAAAATCATTAAATAATAATTTGCATTAAGTTAATTTAATAAAATTTATTAAAATGAACTAAGTCAGGTAATTAGGGTGTTAAATAATTAATTTATTTTTCTCTATTTAGATCAAATACGTGTCTAATCTACCTATAAAGCTATTTGCTTATGAAAAGTATCCATTATCATTGCCCAGCAGTACCCAGTTATCTAATTACAATTCGTGCGACAAAGACGTGGAAGAGGGAATGAGCTAGCATCTTACAATTTTTTATTCTAGGGCCATTTCTGAGGTAATCATTAAATGTTACAGAAGTTTGCATTTTTTTAAACATTTAATAGAGGAATAGAAAGTTGATTAAAACATTAAAAATTGGCATTTATAAATTCAAATGAGGAGTTTAATGCAGGAACTTATCTTAATTTGATATTTGCATGTAAAGAGAATTTCAAAAGAGCAAAATTTATAGCAAATTCCAGGTAAAATTATAAGCCCTTGACACTGATTGATGTGCTGAAGGTATACAATATTTTTAAAACAGTGTAAAAATTGCCCATAATTTTGATTTTCTGATAAACAATCAGACATATTTTTTACTTTTGCCATAGAAAAATCAGAAAATTATATTAATGTTAATTTTTGATGCAGCTAGATGTATCAAACCTTACAGAGACTACTTAAGTGCTATACATAGTACAGGGATAAAGTCAATTTTAATTAATGCCTGGTAATTTTGTAGATATTTTATCTGTAAAACCATACTTTAAATAATATAAGATGAATAATTCGCTTNTTAGAATTTTATAGTTTCTAATATCGAGAATACAACCAAAATATCCAAACTTCTAAAATTTTATAACTTTAAATGATAGCTACTGTTTGAAATTTCAATATTCCCCGATTTGTTTCGAAATGTTATGATTTTACTTTTATGTAAATATTGCTGAAAGAGAATTTAAACAAAAAAATTCGGTTTGTTTAATAATTTATAAATTAATACCATTTGTTGTAAAAATTAAGAGTCGTCCTTCTCTTCTTCTCGAGGCGTATCCTCCCATACGTACACTAAGTTCTTTGTTGCCGAGATCAAACAAGGTTTGGAAGGATGAGACGAGACGGAGTGTACCACTTTGCCGACGTGACTCAATTTTGCTTTGATGTTACTCTGAAAATAAATAGTATAAAAATACTTAAGCTTTTTTTATATCACAAAAATACTTTATTGTAGTCTTTTTTGTTTGATAATTCTTGCAAGCAGTAAGAGTGCTTTTTAATTGTGCCTGTCACAGTAGTCATGCTTACAAATGGAAAACCAGGTGATCAGGGATAGAGTGCGACACATCTAACTCAAACCCATGGTTCCCAGTCACAATGTGACAGATACCTTTAATATCTTGGTCATCTGGATGTTAACTTTATTGGAGTCAAAAATTATAACATCTTTCCAATCACTTTCACGAGAATTTAACATAAAAAAATCTTGGAAATCAACATAGAAACATGTTATTTATTGATTTTGGAATCCAATAAAGCAAGTTATTTTGTAAATTTTATAAAAGACTGCAACATTTTCTTGAATTTCTTTTACTTAATTATGTGTAATAATACTTCACTATTCAGCTAATTAACAATTCAAAAATTTCTTAATACTAAATTTACATATAATTATAAGAAAACTGCCAATTCTTGACGTTTTTTAAATTCCATTTCTACCTATAAAACATTTATTGGTATTTTTCAAGCTTACAGGAAGTCAACTTTTCAATAGATAATTATCCTTTATTCAATTGTCTTAGCTGTTCACAATGCAGTTATCAGAGACAATGAGCCATCACTACACAATGAAAGCTGTCATTGACACGACTGTTTGTGCTCTTATTATTTGATTATCTCCGACAGAAAAATGCACGAGTGCATTAAAACCGGTTGGAATTTTTCTATTATAATACATTTAACTCAACAGAATTAATGTGATTTTAATTGTTTAAATTCTTCTTTATTTTAATAAAAAGCAGCTTGACAAACAGCAAATTAACTTTTTTTGAATGAACATAAAACAATTTTAAAAAATTTTTCATCAATATATATTCATCGACAGATGAAGTTAAATATCACAATAAAGTTTGTTGTATTTATTATACCTAAATACAAGATCTGTATTTTGTAATTTGAAATTTGAATCTAAATGATATAAAGAGCAGTTGGAAAGTCAGCTTGAACCTCTCCTACACATCAGCATAAACATAACAATAACAAGCAGTTTGGAGTGGCTGCATGTTGTTATTTGCAACTCCGTTTCTTCCAACAAATTAGATTGAATGATGAATAATAATTAGGTTCGAATTGGTTTTAATTACTTGTAACTGATTTTTGTAACTGAACCTTCTTATAGATATAAAAATCTACTTGTAATTCTTTTGGANTTAATACTTTATTTATATCTTTTGAGCTTAAAAATATTAAATTTAATCTAAAAACACCATTTTAGTCATCTGTAAACATACTCCGTCTCGAAGGATCTCGACACTTTCCGACTGCATAATGAATTTCTAAGAACCTGTAAAGCTGAATATTTTAGCATTATTTAACATTTTGAATTTAAATTCTCTATTCTAAGATTGCAAAGTATCTTTTGTCAACTGCATTGAAGTAGTGTAATCATCGCAAAGGATTAAACTGTCGAAAGATTAAACTTGTTTACCGAAAATTCAAAGACTGGCGATTATATTTTAAAATGTGGATTATGTATACATCAGTTGCAAATTTCCTATACACGAGACTGTCTCTTGGATATCCTGGTTATAGAATATCTAGATGACAAATTTAGTGAGTGACGAAACAATATGAATTCAATAATGCAGCAATGTGCAACAAGCTTTTGATACAAAGAATATAAAATATCTCATAATAACTTTGATTTATTCTTTAGAATTTCATTAAAAAGTGTCATAAATAAATGGAACTTCAAAGAGATAATTTGAAAAGAGGGTTTTGATAGGTTTTGTCTTTTTTGTAACAGTTGATATATTCTTAATAGTTGAATAGCAGTGCTGTAGAATTTTACTACTTGGTTTTTAGTCTGACGTAAGCTACAAAAGCTTGAGAATGCTGCAATAATGTATCCTTATAGTCCAGACTTAACATGTGACAGTATACTTTAAAAGAGACTGACTTAATCTGAAGAGTATACACCTTTGGCGGTATTAGGTATATTTTTAAATAATATACATGTAATTAGTTACAGAAATAAACATTTCTTGATACATGTCATTATTTATCTTACTATACCCTTAAAATGCCTATTTTACTTATACAGAATATAAATAAGTATTTGTTTCATATCAGTACAAATTCGGAATGACTCAAGCTGTACTGAAAGTTATGCTAAAATGTGTGAGAAATGGGATAACTCAATCCTCTTAAACAAAAACACTTTGTATTTATGGGGATGCAAGACAAAATTTTAAAAATAAAGTGAAAGATTAAGAAAGATTAGGAAAGGCTCCTTTAAAACAAGTGAAGACATACAACTAGCTTTTAGAAACTGTTTTAATGAATTTCAACTCTGTGTTGATGAATATATGCAGAATGATAGAAAGATTCCTATAGAATATGGAGAGAAGCATGCATTTCATGGTCTCTCTATAGATAAAGCATGTTTAAATACTGATTCATCATGGTAAATTTAGATATTTTTCTTATTTTGTAAGATCGATAAGTCAAGAAAGTAATTAAATATAATTTCTTTTTATGTATAAACAAAATAACTTTTAATGTTTTAGGTTATCTTTCCCTTCCGGTCATGCATCATTCTCTTCATATGCCATGGTATATATTATAGTAGGTATCTTGCTGTGTTTTGGTTAATATGTCATAAAAATGAATACTAATAAAACTTTTATTCTTATTTTTTAATTTCAGATATATCTACAACACAGAATGAAGTTTGAATATAATAAACTACTGAAGCCATTTCTCCAGTTTCTAGCACTTGCAACTACTTGGTTCATCAGCCTGTCGCGGATATCCGACTATAAACATCACTGGAGTGACGTCCTAGTCGGAGGAATTTTAGGCACTTCTGTTGCAATTATCGTAGTAAGTTCTTTGAATTTATTTTAATAAAATTAAATATTAATTTACTATGAATAGAGCAGTTTAAAGGCAACCCATTTATGTGACAGTGACAAATTTCAGTCATTTTGTATTCGGCGCAAATGATTAATTAATAGGTTATGTTATGAAAAAAAATCATTAAATAATAATTTGCATTAAGTTAATTTAATAAAATTTATTAAAATGAACTAAGTCAGGTAATTAGGGTGTTAAATAATTAATTTATTTTTCTCTATTTAGATCAAATACGTGTCTAATCTACCTATAAAGCTATTTGCTTACGAAAAGTATCCATTATCATCGCCCAGCAGTACCCAGTTATCTAATTACAATTCGTGCGACAAAGACGTGGAAGAGGGAATGAGCTAGCATCTTACAATTTTTTATTCTAGGGCCATTTCTGAGGTAATCATTAAATGTTACAGAAGTTTGCATTTTTTTAAACATTTAATAGAGGAATAGAAAGTTGATTAAAACATTAAAAATTGGCATTTATAAATTCAAATGAGGAGTTTAATGCAGGAACTTATCTTAATTTGATATTTGCATGTAAAGAGAATTTCAAAAGAGCAAAATTTATAGCAAATTCCAGGTAAAATTATAAGCCCTTGACACTGATTGATGTGCTGAAGGTATACAATATTTTTAAAACAGTGTAAAAATTGCCCATAATTTTGATTTTCTGATAAACAATCAGACATATTTTTTACTTTTGCCATAGAAAAATCAGAAAATTATATTAATGTTAATTTTTGATGCAGCTAGATGTATCAAACCTTACAGAGACTACTTAAGTGCTATACATAGTACAGGGATAAAGTCAATTTTAATTAATGCCTGGTAATTTTGTAGATATTTTATCTGTAAAACCATACTTTAAATAATATAAGATGAATAATTCGCTTTATCAAGTTGTAATGCTTTTGTGAATAAGTAAACATAGAAAATGGATAGTGTGGAACAGTGTCATTGCTCATGCATATCCAGGAATAGGATGTAAACAAAAATATTTTGAATATTAAATACATGCCAACTGAACCTGAAGTAAATTCTAGTTAAATGAATTTAAAAAATATAAATATTTAAATAAATTAAATATTGTATTAAATCCTAATTATTTTATTTACTAAATAAATTTTTTGTGCATTTCTGACAGAAAAGAATATGAAACTTTTAATTGCAGCAACAAAAAAAAATTTATTACTTTAAAATCTAATATCTATAAAATTCAAAATTTAATTTGAATATATCTTTTAGTGAATTTACTTTTAAATGTTTTAAATTTGGCAACTTTTAAGAATTTGCATGTAAAGAATGCTCAAAAAGTCCCTATGCACAAGAAGTTACTTGTATGTTCCCCTCTATTCTCTACACAAATCTTGATCTTTAGAAGAATGTAGAAAAAAAATGATCTTCCACATCAATAGACCTGATAACCAATTGATTAATTCTTTAACTGTACATCATAAATGTAAAGACCTAGTGAAGAAAGTTTCTCCTTCATAATGCTATAAAGAGAACTGCTGCATGTTAAGACTGAACCTTGAAGACCATGGCACCAGTAACTGCAATTTTGTTACGTTATAATACAGTGTCTTCCAAAATTAATGTTACAGTTTTAAATTATAATAATTATGTTAATTATTATCTGAGAAGTCTGTAACTATACCTAATCGATAGAGTAACCATCTGAGTTTCACCTCCAGTCTGCATTCAAACATCTTGTTATCCATTACCACTAGGAAGCACTATAAACAAAAATGGCAACTGGCAATAGAGGTGTTTTGTTCTGCAGTTCACAAGATTGGAATTGTTCATCTCTGCACAATGTGAGTAATCTGCAGGAGCCACAGAATTGTGGCTGCTGCGGGAGGAGTAACAATGGATGTGTCATAGTGAGCATAGGAAGAATTTGATTATTAGTTGGATGTGTGCCATGTGACACAAGGTGCATATTAAGAAATTGTAATGGGCAAACGTGAAATGTGGACATAACAACGCTTTCAGATGGTAATTAACATAATTATAATCCTTTAAAGAGATAGCATTCTTTTTGGAAGACCCTGTATTTATATTTTACTGTACTTTTATCTATTTTGATGGATCATTATTAGAATGAAAATATATTTTATCATTTAGAAATTTACTTTCTTATGGATGTTTTCATCCTTCAAATGACCAAAGAAGTCTGTCTGACATTCAAAATATTAAATATCTTTAAATTGATGATCATATTTCTTGAAACAGATCCAATCAGTTTGATAAAAAGTCAATATTTTAGTGCAGATTTTAAAAAGTTTCATTTCACTCCATACACTAACATAAATCCTTGAATTTTATCTATTAAATTATTATTAAATCAAATCAGAAAAAACAGAGTAAAAAGTAATGAACCAAGCTTAAAGTTGAAATATCAAACTTGGAATTAATTCTTCTAAATTATTTTAAAAATTAGATTACTTTTGAAAACTTTCATTGTATAAAATTGAGGATAGCAAGAGATTAAGGTGTCAGCCTACTGGGAGACCGGGTTTGAATCCGGGAAACCCCTGAAATTCTTTGTGATCAGTAAGTCTGGGATACATTGGGCCCCATCCTTCATCATCCAGTCACCACCATTGTGGGCTCGGTCAAACCCACAACAGATACAGAATACTTAGTGCCCATAGGACAGAGTTAAAAAAAAGTATAAAAACAATACATTAATTTAATATAAAATTCATTATTATATATTTATATTATTATAAATAAATCTGTTAACATCTCTTGTTGCATTAATATATTAGTATTAACATAGATTTTGTAAAACAAGATTGTTTCTGTGTATATAAATTTTATAAATGTTCATTATGTATTCTGGATATGTAGCACTAGTCATATGTTTGCAATATGTAGCCTGTTATAATCCAAAATATCTACCATGTTATGCATTTTGTGTAATTATTGTGTTACTGGGGCTACATTAACACGAGCTTATTATGACGGGTGGGAGCATTACCTTCTTAGGGGCCTCGTCTCTTTGCTCTAAAGAAATTTGAGGCCTCGAAAGTGCTTAAAATGGTCCTGCATGTTGCATATTCTGAATTGCATACAGTATTTATGACTATTGTGCTACACATTCTAGACTGTATATATTAATAGTTTGTTACATATTCTAGACTCTATACAGTTTGTTACTAATGCAATTCTGTATACACTCTTTGTATTAATATCATGTTATATATATTCTGGACTGTATACAAGTTGAGTTACTATCATAATATATATTCTAGAATGTATACTGTTTGCATTACATATTTTGTATTGTATTGCAAGAGTATGTAATTTAATCTATATATACTACATGTCTGAACAACAGTGTATGTACTACATGCTACATATACTGCTGTACTCAGACTGTATACTCTGAATCACTCTATCATATATATTCTGGATTACACAGTCCTGAATATGTAATGCAACAGTATCATTGTATCTGTTATAGATGTAACATATGATTTTATAATTAAAAATATATAAAGAAACAGTTCTTCTGTTGGTATTGTAAAACTAAAATAGAATGGTATAATTTTTCATATTTATCTAGTTATTGCTTCAATTACTTGCACATAATTTATTTTAATTGCTCAGAATGAATGCATTAATAATTATTAGAATTAAAAGTACAGGTCTATGCCATTTAAAACCAAAGATATGTTCCAAGAAATACATTTTTAAGCAAACATCATATAGCATACTTATACCAGTACCATATAAGCTTAGATTTGTCTATGTAAAGGCAGCTTCACACATTCAGTATATTTTGAGTGCCAGATAATTGCCTTTTTCCAAAGGGTTTGTCACACGACGAATACAAATGTACTCGCACACAGTTATTTGTCGAGCATTGGTTCATTGTGGAAATTACAAATGTTTGTTTGTATAATTGTTCTTTGATTTGCCACAATATATTGACAAGGAGTGAGAAACGGCGAATACCAAATATTTTTCAAGTAAATCATCCACACTACTCAGTGTTGGTGCCAAATGTTTGCTAGGCATTTAGCAAATACCAATGCATGGACAACCTAAATGCAATAAGAGTATTTATCTCATAAAACATAAAAAAAGTATGGACAGCTACAAATTTTTCCACTCCATTATAATCTGATAGACACAACATTAATATATTTTATATTTTGATAAGTGATGTAATTGAATTATAGGATATTTTTTGTACTAAATCTTTCTTTAAGCATAGTGTTTGTTCATTTCATCAATTATATTTTATGATCTTAGTTCTACAAAACAGAATTCTATCCAAATATAGAATGTTTTAATGTATATATTTAGTAATTAATATAATGAAAGACGTAATTACCAATGTTCTTGAACTTTTAATTTTTAATTACTCTTTCTCAGATTCAATTAATACAATTGTCATTCTTATGCAATGCTTTAAATTAATTGAATATATCTACTTTAATTGCATAAAATATCCATTTAATTTCTAAGAAATTATAATAAAATCGAATAAATAAATAAAATATTATCACAATCATTTTCAAATGATAAAATTCTCTAGCAATATTCTATATGGTCTTATATTACAAATGAAGTGTGCTTTTTTTAAATGTTATAACAAATAAATCTCTGATGAATTGTATAGATAAGATTATACAAAACAGGCATAAAGTTCCCTATGCATGTTAATTAGAAATTTATCAATATGCTCTTTCATTCTCCACACATTTTTTTCCCATGCTTTACTGGATATCATCTTGCATCAATAGTTGAAATTCATTAAAGCAATCTATAGAAGGAATCAACTGGTTAATATATTTTATATACAATTTCTTTATATATAACGTTCTTGTTAATTTATAATCTGAATTATCACCTGAAATTTAATCCTAAATTACAAGGAATTAAAATACTAACATAAATATCACTTGAAATCTCATCATTTATCAGTTAAAACATGTGACAGCAATAATATTTTTATTATCATTTTTCTTATCATAAATTAATTTATTATGTCCTGATGAATTGATAATTTCTGTTATAACTGTGAGAAATTAATTTGACAAAAGTAATTTAGATAACAAGAGTATTGATAAGATGTCCTGTATAAATTCTATTTGTCAAAAGTAGTTAATTTTCTCTTTGTATTTGTGTTTTTAATACACAACTTGAACAGTTTTCGTGCATAATTAATGTAAATGTGAATAATTTATGATGAGGAGTGACTAAATAATTAAAAGAAGTTGCGTTGTAAGGGATATTGATCATTAATTTCTAAGTTGTGCAGGATGCTTGCTTATAAAATAGGAAAAACAAGTCATAAACTACAAATTTTGAACTTGAAAAAGAAGATAATTCAGTTTTTTGGTGTCAAATAAATTATATTTTTAATAAAGTGTACAATATTTCAAAATAACATCTTCGGGAAGATAAAGAAACCAGAATATGTGAATTGGAACACAAGACACGTTTTACGCAGTTTAATATTTAAAAATGGATGACGATAATTTACAATTTCAATCTCTAACCTCTTGTGTTTCTTAATAAATAATATGTAGCTGTTATTCTAATTAGTAAAGATCTTTCTAAATGTTATTTTAACTTTGTCATCATAAGGAAAACCTGTTAATATACAATTAAATAGGAGTAAATTCTTGTCAGAAAGTTTTTTTTTTTCATTAATACAATCACATTAAACAAAACAATATATTGCTTTTGAATAAATAATAATTTCTACATCTTAAATTTTCTAATTGTTATTTTACAGCTACATAAAAATAAAAACCAAATTACATATTTAAGGATTTTGATGATATCAAGAGAAAGAATGTAACTTTATTACATCTACCTTTCTTTGATGTGTATTATATTTTTTAAAAATAAATTACAAAAAGAAAAGGATAGCATCTTTAATAAGTTTTTATCAATAAATTATTTAATATATAAATATATATTTTAAAAAACTTTTTAACAGAAATTTTAAAAGTCTCTAAACATTTTCTTTTTAGATTTTTTTATTGCTTTTAAATGTGGCAACAAAGTATGAAATTGTATATTTTTAATTATTAAAAGTTAAAAAATGAAGTAAATTAAAAATTTCCATTATTTCACCATAGAGTTAAGAACATATTCTTAAAAGTAAAGTTACAATGATATTTACATAGAAAATTAAAAATTGGCAAGATAATTTGTTAAAATACTTTCTTTATTTTCAAAATTATATTATTATACTTGACAACTTTTTAAAGCTTCATCCTCCTTGCAGGCAATAAGAGTGGAGAGCATAGATTATAGTGTCTAAAGGTTCTCCTCCCATAGGCACTAAGATGCCTATAGAAGATAGGCCTTGTTTCATGCTCATCATGGGTATGACAGATCTGCAAAAAAGCAGTCAAGTGGTGTGGGGCAAACCCAAATACCAGATTCAAACTTGAAAAGAACAGCATGATGATTGTCTTTACTGCTTCATCATCCATCCAATCCAATTCTTACAATTAAATTAAATTAATAATAATCAATTTAAATTCTCCAAAAATAAATTATTCTAATATAATAACTACATTTTGTTTAACCAAAATAATTACATTACATTATGTTAAATTTGTAAGCAATTGTTCAAAGTATTAAAACTTTTGTTAGTAAATTACAGTTAAAAATAATTGTATTCGCAACTCATTATCCTATTCCATGAATGCAATTTTAATAATTAAACTGTCAAAGTGACAAATGACAAAGTACAAAGTTATTAAAATTTTATTTCATAAAAATATTTGAATGATACTGTAACAAAGATTGTTATTTATTATTATAATACAGTCTTCATAAGAGAATTTAAACAAAAAAATTCGGTTTGTTTAATAATTTATAAATTAATACCATTTGTTGTAAAAATTAAGAGTCGTCCTTCTCTTCTTCTCGAGGCGTATCCTCCCATACGTACACTAAGTTCTTTGTTGCCGAGATCAAACAAGGTTTGGAAGGATGAGACGAGACGGAGTGTACCACTTTGCCGACGTGACTCAATTTTGCTTTGATGTTACTCTGAAAATAAATAGTATAAAAATACTTAAGCTTTTTTTATATCACAAAAATACTTTATTGTAGTCTTTTTTGTTTGATAATTCTTGCAAGCAGTAAGAGTGCTTTTTAATTGTGCCTGTCACAGTAGTCATGCTTACAAATGGAAAACCAGGTGATCAGGGATAGAGTGCGACACATCTAACTCAAACCCATGGTTCCCAGTCACAATGTGACAGATACCTTTAATATCTTGGTCATCTGGATGTTAACTTTATTGGAGTCAAAAATTATAACATCTTTCCAATCACTTTCACGAGAATTTAACATAAAAAAATCTTGGAAATCAACATAGAAACATGTTATTTATTGATTTTGGAATCCAATAAAGCAAGTTATTTTGTAAATTTTATAAAAGACTGCAACATTTTCTTGAATTTCTTTTACTTAATTATGTGTAATAATACTTCACTATTCAGCTAATTAACAATTCAAAAATTTCTTAATACTAAATTTACATATAATTATAAGAAAACTGCCAATTCTTGACGTTTTTTAAATTCCATTTCTACCTATAAAACATTTATTGGTATTTTTCAAGCTTACAGGAAGTCAACTTTTCAATAGATAATTATCCTTTATTCAATTGTCTTAGCTGTTCACAATGCAGTTATCAGAGACAATGAGCCATCACTACACAATGAAAGCTGTCATTGACACGACTGTTTGTGCTCTTATTATTTGATTATCTCCGACAGAAAAATGCACGAGTGCATTAAAACCGGTTGGAATTTTTCTATTATAATACATTTAACTCAACAGAATTAATGTGATTTTAATTGTTTAAATTCTTCTTTATTTTAATAAAAAGCAGCTTGACAAACAGCAAATTAACTTTTTTTGAATGAACATAAAACAATTTTAAAAAATTTTTCATCAATATATATTCATCGACAGATGAAGTTAAATATCACAATAAAGTTTGTTGTATTTATTATACCTAAATACAAGATCTGTATTTTGTAATTTGAAATTTGAATCTAAATGATATAAAGAGCAGTTGGAAAGTCAGCTTGAACCTCTCCTACACATCAGCATAAACATAACAATAACAAGCAGTTTGGAGTGGCTGCATGTTGTTATTTGCAACTCCGTTTCTTCCAACAAATTAGATTGAATGATGAATAATAATTAGGTTCGAATTGGTTTTAATTACTTGTAACTGATTTTTGTAACTGAACCTTCTTATAGATATAAAAATCTACTTGTAATTCTTTTGGATATATGCATCTTTACAAAATTGAGAATATTAATACTATTTTATATAATATATAATTATATATTTAAATTTCAAAAATAATTATTTGCAAATTTAATGTTTGAGCAATAAATTGTTACAATACTCACTCTAAAAAGCATTTAATGCAGTAATATTTCTTGATTGAAAATAATCATAAATGTGACAATGATATTCAGGAAAAATATGTTAGAATGTTATCTGAATTTACAGAATGCATTTAAAATCTTCACATTACTGCATTAAATGGTTTTTAGAGGAGGTATTTGTACAATTGAAGTTTGGAAAAGAATAATTACTTAAATTACATTGTTTGATAACAAAATTATTAAACAAAAAGCTTATTTTCTAACTGTAAATATTAAAATTTTTGTTTGAATTTTCTGATATTTATTCAAATACAGCATCAAGCTTTAATTGAAAATCATAATACAGAAGGTAAATATGATTTTTATGTGGCAGATAACCTATCCACATCTCTGCATCTAATGCAACTGCCAGTCTTGTTTGATTTGAGGAATATCATAAATAAAATATTATGCTTTCAATATGTTTACCAATAATTTCAATACTATTGCATAATTTATTGATAACTATCAAAAATTAATTTTAAACACAGTAAATTCACTCAATGCAAAGTATAGGGTGTTTTTTTAGAGGTATACGAATTTAAAATGAAATAAAACACGTAAAAATAATGTTAATGGCCATGGTGTTGGCTTTATTTAAAAGATAATTTTATGCCATTAGTGTTTAAACATGATTTCGGGCATATGGGCGCCATGGCTGGCTTGAATGAAGCGCAATTATGAAGAACAATTTTCGACCACTTTATTGAGCAACTGGGGCCGTATATCAGCAACAACGTGGCGAATGTTGAGTAACTTATATCCATTAAAAGTCACTGGTGTGCTTTATGGGCAGGTGGAATCATAGGTCCATATTTCTTTAAAGATGATGCTGGCCAGAATGTTACCATCAATGGAGAGCGCTTTTGGAGCCATGATTGCTGACTTTTTATTCCTCAGTTGAATGGTATTGATGTGGCAGAGCTTTCGTTTCAACAAGATGGCGCCACATGCCACATAGTGCACGGCACCATCAATTTATTGCAAGAAACATCCGATGAGTGCATAATTTCGCATAATGGACCTGTGAACTGACCTCCACAATCGTGTGATCTCACACCTATGGATTACTTTCTTTGAGGATATGTGAAGTCACTAGTCTACGCCGATAAACCACAGACGTTGGACCACTTGGAAGGCAACATTTGCCGCGCTATTGCCGATATACAGCCCCAGTTGCTCAATAAAGTAATCGAAAATTGTTCTTCCCGATTGCGCTTCATTCAAGCCAGCCATGGCACCCATATGCTCGAAATCATGTTTAAACACTAATGGCATAAAATCATCTTTTAAATAAAGCCAACACCATGGCCATTAACATTATTTTTACATGTTTTATTTCATTTTAAATTTGTATACCTCTAAAAAAACACCCTGTAGAAAAGCCAGTTTTTTTAACTTTGCATTCTCTGAAATTTTAGAGAAATTTTGTCAACTGTTAGAAATCAAGTGTTAAAGTCTACAAATTTCTATAAAATGCTGAATATTACTAGCAACTAGCAAATAATTTTTTTTCTAGTTAAATTTAAGGAGCCAAAAGATTCTCTCTTTATTCAATCCTATAAATAAAATTATAAAGTGTAGTGCAATTTAAACTTGTCCTCTTTATTTTGAAATCATATGATACATTACAATCATTACTTGCCATAATACATGTAGCCTCATGTTCCACATTTACTGCTGACCATCAATTTTACAGACCCTTACATAACGAATTTCAGAAACAAATGCCTTGCAACCAGGCATTTTGTTCAGGCATCTTAAATAATACATGGGTAGGATAAAAAGTAATGCACATGTGCTTGTAGAACACAAACAAAAACAAATAGCAAGATCAGGCAAAAAGTACATTAAAGTACAATTCTTAAGCTTCAAAATCATATATTTATTTTTCAACAGTCACTGTTAAGGCTAACATATTTCTCCCAACATGTAACAAGTTTTTTCATTCTATCACTGAAAAATTCTTCCGACTTTTCTCAAATCCAGGACTTGACAGCTGCCTTCACCTCATCATCCAAGATGTAATGATCACCCTTGAGGTCTCTCTTGAGTAGAGGAAAAAACTAAAAATCGCAAGGCACAAGATAGGGGGAATAAGGAGGGTGTGGAATCAGTTCAAACTTCAGGTTTCGCAGAGCCTCTCCAGTTGCGTGCGAGGTATGTGGATGAGCATTGTCATATTGCAAGATTATTGGCGCCAGGCTACTTCTAACATGAAAAACTCAACGTCGGAGTGTTTTAGAGTCAGTATGTACTGAGAAGAATTAAACATTGCAACAAGAGGCAATGGTAATTGTCTGTGGCAGTTATCGGATGTCCGCTGCATGTTTCATCAATAAATATGGCTTTTCCAAGCTCGCAACCACAAAATTTTATCATCCATCGATTTGCAGTAGACCTATCAACAGCATCGTCACCATAAACAGCTTATGCTTCCAACACAATAAAGTGCTATAAATTAAGACACTTGGCGGGTTTTCTCATCTTTATTTAGTTGACCATATCATCAAAACCATAAACAGCCTTTAAATGACAATGAATCTCAGTAGGAGTCACTTTTTCAGCAGTTAAAAATTCGATAACAGCATGCTGTTTAACTCGCATTGACGTAGCACTAGAACATGTCTCCATATTTCTACTTCTCAAAATATACTGAATGAACGCAACAACCTCAAACTGTGCATGCACATAGAGGGGCAATGTTACTTCCATATACCACCTGGCGCGCTTCTGAAAATCATTTTGTCCACACTCTACAAGCATGTGTGCATTACTTTTCAGCCTACCCTTGTATATTTCCAATTAATTCTAAATCGGAAATACATTATTTAAGATCAGACTTTAACTGTTAATTTGTGGACTGTCCAGTAGACAACATACAGAAAGTTATTATTTAAAGTGAGGTGTTTGTTTGTCAGTTATATCCCATGTAAAGACTTGCAGTTGACAAAGAAATCTTTGAATACAAATAATGGACACTTATATTATTGGATCAATGCTTCCCCTGTTATCTTATTGTATTGAGTGTTAAATAATATAATGTATCATGCATATTTTCTATCAATTCAACACCATAAAAGATTTAAGGATATTATTATTTTGTCACTGCCAAGCGATAAATTACAGTCGACCCCCCCTATAACACGGGTTCCTATAGTTCAGATTCCTATATGACGGCGAAAAAATTAAGATGGTATCCATACAAACATAGTAAAAAAACTCCTATAATTCGGCAAAACATCATCGGGCAGCCGAACTACTTTCTGCCATCCCGTGCCACGCTAAGGAGAGTTTAGGTGGGTAAATTGAGTTTACTATCATCTGTACAGTATTATATATAAATTAGGTACTGTATATATAATTATATATTAACTTAATTTATTGTAACTTTATTATAATTATATATATACTTTCCGCCGTCCAGCGCCACGCTACGGAGAGTTTAGGCGAGTAAGTTGAGTTTACTATCGTCTGTACAGTATGTAAATTAGGTACCATAAGTCTAATACAGCACTAATTTTATACATTTCTTGTGAAAGAAACATTTCTTATTCAATGGCCATAAAAATTATTTATATTAATGATGTCTCCAAAGTTCAACGAAGTTTTCGCAGAAAAATAACATCAGAAATCGCGCCTGCCATTTGGTGCACTGCTCCGCGACGAAAACCAGCTTTAGCAGTGGCGACATCGAACGGTGCACAGGTAAGTAAGTAATCCTACAATTTTTTGTTTATAGCATAGTTTATACAGATTATTCCCAAAAAAATATACGTGTTTTAGAAATGTTGAGTCAAATTAGTCTAGGAATCGATTAATTTTATGGAAGAAAACCTTTCAAACAGCCGTAGTCCGTAAACTTCACACATGTCGGGCAGTGATTGGCAAGGTCTCCTAAAACATCAATTTCATAAAAAATGGAACGTATCTACCATCTTATAGGAGGGTCAACTGTACTTGAAATTCAATTTAACATGTTAATAAAGTATTGCAGCAATAAAGAAATTCCCTTAGTTAACTACAAGAAGCAAAAATATTTAAACAATTATAATATATTAAAAATTTTTCAAATAAAACTGATTACTATGCTAATTCATTCAATTATCACAAGGAATTCTTAAATTATTTATTGTTGCAGTAATTTAATTAACAAACAAAAATTGTACAAAATTACAAGCATAATTATACATAAACTTGTATTTGTACTCGACTCGACCTTGTTATTAAGTAACAAGGTCGAGTATTCAATATTTCGCAACACATTTTATAATTAAAACTTACTTCGACTAAGTCCCAGCAATAAATTATTCCATCTTCAGATCCCGAAAACAAATGGTCGTCATTTTCATTTAGACAACTGTCTATTCGATATTCTTCATTTTTGTGGCCTGTATATCTAAAATAACAATGTTTTAATTATTTACTTAAACTTTTTTCTTAATTAACTAGGAAATTACACAAATGATAGCTATGCCATCCTCATTTATGTATATTAACTCGGTATGGCAAAATTTTGGAAAATATGGCTCTTCAAGTTATTAAATTAGCTTGGCTTGCTATCATTTGTACTTAAGTACAATGGTAGTACTTGTAATTATTATTTTGTATTTTTCTATAATTTTAAATAAAATATAAGCAAATTATACATATAAAAATAAAAATTCCAAGGTACTTTTAAAATAAAGATTATATTTAATAAAAATTTAAAGGATATTAATTAAGAACAAAACAAAATCCATCAAAATCAATCTTTTATTATTTTCAGTTCTTAGAATTACATACAATGATACTAATCTTCAATTAATATAATTCCCAAGACCAAAAATGAATAAAACCTGATTTTGAGAGATTTTTTCTTAATTTTTATAAGGATTATAATTCATTATACTAAGTACAAACCGAACATAAATGTGGATGTGTTTCAATTTTGATTAATAAATATAATACCCAAATAATTTGTTTGTTAAAATAGTTATGTATTAACATAAATTTAGACATTACGTATCATCCTTATTTTATAAATTTAATATGGAGCTTTGTTACTTTATTTAAACAATATGGAGTTTTGCACATCATATGAACTTTCCGCATCAACACCTTAAAAAAATACCATCAAGTAACACTTATTCAAACTATTTCTGGCTAATGATCATCCACTCTATGATGACATTACCAACTCATGCAACAGGCCATATATTTACATAGTCTTCTACTGTATTATAATTTATACAGCACTATTTAAACAGAAAAAATATTGTTTGTTAGCTGTTTCTGTGTATATTATATATTACCGAAACTTACAGTATCCAAAAGACATTGTGGAGGTACAATGTTATCCCATGCTGAGATATTTAATCCTCTCGTGTTTTATAGTCTAACATTTTGGCAACAGACTATCCATTTAATCTTTTTGATGTACATACGCTTTAAATTTCTTTCATAAGCCTGTGATAAATTTACTACCCTCTCATTGACATCTGCTAGCATATGTCAATGATACTCTTTTGGATATGTCTTTTGGATACTCTAAGTTTCAATCCTCTTTATAATCCAGCTCCATTACCACAACCGGAGATCCTCATTCCAGATATCACGCTCATCATTAAGGATATGAATAGCACAAATCAAGACTTTATTCATTGGAAAACCAAATTCCGCACAGCGCAAGAGAAGAGCAATAACTTAGATACAAGACGTTTTCACCTTAGCATGAAGAAATCGCACCAATTGTTACAACACAATAATGTGATGCTCATGAGGGCTGATAAGTGGTGGTACTACTAAAACGTTCTACTTACGACGATAAGCTAAATGAATATGTTACAGGCACAGAGTGCCAATCTGCACCCGTCAATTTCTTGAATACTTTATAACATAGAGTTAAGAGATTCACCTCCACCGCTTTAGCACGACATTTACACATACAGAATTCCACGATCCTTGCTCCAAGAACTCCTAGATTATTTGCGTTTGCGAAGACGCATAAACCGGGTAACCAACTATGTCCTGTCATTGAAAAATGTTGCTCCCCAGCATTCTTGATTGAAAAGCAGTTAGTCAACTTCTTCCGTGCTAGAGATCACCTGCATCCATTTTCTATTTCCAACTCACTGCAGCTTGTGGAGAGTCTCAGAGACATTTCTCTTATGGACAAGGAATATATGACTGTATTGGACTACAAATCCTTGTACCCTTTGATAAAATTATCTCCTTGTTTTTGTGCCATAAGGGATTTTTTATTTACCAATATAGAAAATGCACCATCTTATGCTCATGCTCATATCCTGGAATTAGCACATTTGATTTGTTATACATCTTTCTTTGAGTTTGAAAGAAATGTCTTCTTACAAGGAAGAGGCGTACCTATGGGTAGTCCTACATCTGAAATCCTTTGTGAATTGGTTTTGCGTCAACTTGAAAATGCCGTCCTACCCAAATTTCAACAACAAATCGTTTCGTATGCTAGATACGTTGATGACATTTTCATACTTTGGCATGAGGAATCTAACCTGCAATATTTTTTAAACAAGATCAACAATAACCCTTATGGTTTAACATTACAGCTTGACCAAAAGAGCAACTCCAACGTTAACTTCCTGGACATTTCCATTATGTGCAAACAAGGAGAGATCTGGACTGATATTTACCGTAAACCCTGCTTTCAACCCATTCTCATCCCACGCCAATCAGTCGATCCCAAGCACATCAAGTTGGCAGTTTTCAGAGCATGGATTAAACATGCTTATACATATTGTACAAGCTTCTATGACACGATAAGAGAGCTAGAGTACATTCTTAAGATAGCCCAACTACACGGTTACCAAAAGAAAGAGATAGAGGGCCTTATTTCATCCTTCCAATCCATAGCACGGCATTCTCCCAGGGTTGACTGTAATAAACAAATAGTGCTTAATTACATCCCATTTTTTAAAAAGATACATAGATCTACTGCCAGGTCTAATAACTTTCGCATTGTATACCAACGTAATCCCACTATTTTCAAACTTTTAACAAACAATAAAAAGAAAGAGGATCAGAATTCAACAACCGGTATATATTTGGTGCCTTTACATGACCAACATTTCAATTCCAAGCTGGTTTACGTGGGTGTGATGATGCGCAGTTTAAAACAAAGGCGCAAGGAACACAAATATACAATCAATAGGAACCTTGATAACACTGCGTTAACATCATATGCAAGGTAACAGGATGTTAACATGCAATGGGATCAGACGACAATTAAAAAAAGACAACTAATAGGCAAACAATCAAACATCTTGAGAGATTGGAAATCTATAAGGTGCAAATGGGAACCGGTTGTGTAAACCAAAGAGATGTAGACTCATTGTCTACTGCATGGAGGTCCTTTTACAATTATTAATTTTTTACTATTTATTTTGTTTGTTTATTAATTTTTCTTTAATTCGTCCACTAGGGCATTTTCCGTTAATTTTTATTTTTTTATATTTATTTCATTTTAAGTTCTATATTTAATATTCTATTTTTGGTAACTGAGGGTGTTCTCTCCCTTTTTACTTTTATTTATTGCTTTTAACTCTCTGTGGGCACTAAGATGGCCTTTTCAACAAGCCCATTATGAGTTTGGTTAGGTCATCAATGAGGCAGGAATGGGGTCAGACAGCCACCCCCTCAAAAATTCCTGGAGTTTGTGACTCATTTGGATTCAATTCTGGATAAGCTTCTGCCTAAACTGCTTAGCCATCTGGTAATCCATTTAAACACTTAATTAATTTGAAATTTCCTAAGTCAAATTTAAGAACGTATCCATATTGTTTCTCACACATCTATTATAGTTTAGATACATTTTATATTTTAAGAAATTAAGATAAAATATTTTACTTACTCCGCTAGCATTTCTCCAGTTTCTTTATCAAGAAGTTTCAATGTATTATCTAAACAACTGACCAAAATGCACTGACCGTCCTTAGTAAAATTAACACAAGTGACAGATTCTGAAATTGTATATAAATAATTTATGAATCATTATGTTTTGATTAATATATTTTTGATTAAAATACTATTTATACACTTGATATAGTGTAAATTGAATACAACGGATTAGGGATTAGTGTATTTTGATATCATTGCATACATTAAATTCGTGTTTTATTAATCTAAAAACTTCAAATTCATTCAAAATTTATCAACATGACTTTATTACTTCTTAAAACACTAGACTCTTGCTAATCTGTCTGTTCCTTGCATGGAGAGGCACCAGATTAGCAAGAGTGCTGGATTATTGAAAGTGTATAACCTTCCTAAAGGCAATGAATGAAATAATCTGTTGCCCTGTGGTACAGTACCTATTCCTTTTGGAGGCAGGAGAAAACAATACAGTGTTACTGATATGCAATAAATAATATATACCTGATATATACAGAAATGAAATGTGAGTAAACAGAAAATGAGACATATAAAGTAAAACATGACTATCATTTTCTTGGAAATGAAAATGTATAGGAGAATAGGCAATCACATTAGCAGATAATTAAGTGTGTGTACTATAATTATATACATATACCAAGGCTGGCCAAATGTTGCCATGACAGGAACCATATATTGCCTATGAAAAATACAAGCAGCACATTCACTATTAAAACTGTATTTAATATAAGTTATAAAACACTGGTTTGGCTATGATATATAATGCAGTAAGGGACTAGAAGAGCCACATGTGGCTTGCAAGCCACAGTTTAGCCACCATGGATACAAATAGAATCTATCTTGGTCTACATCCTGACACAAATAGAATTTTAAAAGTTGATCTGTAACTAGAGATATAAAATGTCAAAGTTTAAAATGTTAAGTCTACAGGCAAGGTATCTGGCCCACATGAGCAAACCTAGTTTAATGTTATCAGAAATAACAAACCTTGAAAACATAATTTAAAACACATTTATATAACTTTGCTTAGCGTGATCAGAATTCAGTTCCAGTTACTATCTTCAGAAAAATAGACAATTTTAAGCTGTCTTTACTTGCTCAATGTGTAGTTGATAACATGCAATTATCATCAGTTTTAACTGTTGATTTAAACATTCAAAAGTTAATCATTGTAATAATTTGCTTGCAGTATTATAATTAAATTTCTAGCATTTCTTACTTCAGTTATATGTTAGCCATTGTTAAAGATGATACTGAAAAAAATCAGCAGGCAAATAACACTGTATGAATTACTAATAATTTTAATTAATTAATAAAGCTTAAAATTATATATTTTGAGTTATTTTAAGATTTTAACCCTTTTAATGTCGGATTCAATGAAAACAGAATTTCCACTGATTATATCCTTATTTACCCTACTTAATGCTATCATTTTAGGTAAGTCCTAAAGTGATTACAACAAGTGGATTAAAAAAGTGATTACAACAAGTGGAGTTATTATAAAAGAATGTTAAACATTAACATTCTTTTATAATAACTCTATCTACATTACAGTATTTTATTTTACTTACTTCCTAAATGATCGCTATACATTTCTCCTTTACGTAGATCGTATCTTCGTACGTGTTGATCCAGAGAGCCCGTTAATATTTCGTGATCAGACACATGTAAAGAAGTAACGTTATCTTTCGCTTCATCCATTATCTAAAAATATTACTTTTGATATAAACAAATATTTTAATATAATCGTCGATTTAATTATTGTAACAAATATAACCTGTATTGGATCTCTGCTATGACTTCTACAATCCCAAGCTCGAACTGTACAGTCCAACGAAGCCGACAGAATGACACTCGATTCTTCATTGAATTTAACTGCATTTACTTGACCTAAATTAATTACCCATTTAGTAATATAATTATATAGAGAAAGAGAAAATATTGTGATGCACGAGTTCATACATTTTAATAGTAGTACCCATAACAAGTCTAAAAATAGACTCTTTTAATACTTATAAGACAGAAAGCCTTTATATCTATAAACACAAACATTTTGAACTATATAAATTTATCTGATTATCTTCAGATTGGAATTCTAATTTAAAACTGAACATAATCAGACTAATTATGTTCATCTTACATTTATGATTAACGATAAATCGATGATTCTTACTGCCCTTTTTCCATTGCTCATACTCCTTTAACATATGCTCTTATACTCCCATCAAACAATTATTCAGTTTCTTTCATTTAAGGAGATAAAATTTTCTAATGTGTATTTTACCTAACTTTAGGTACAACTTAAATAATTAAGACCTTTCAAAACTTTTTAAAATTGTACTGGTACAAAACTCATATATAAAATTAATAATGAATTTTAGGATATAATAAGGGAAGTAATGAATTTTTGAGGATTTGTTTCATTATAAATCCTTAATTAGTAACAGAAATAAAGCTGTATAAGTATACTTTTTCTGTAATACAAATTCACACTTTCCCCCCAAAAAAATATCTAAATTATACAAGAACTGTTCGACTTATGTCTGGGATTTCAGTATGGAACTGTATGTGTTACCTGGTCCTAATTTAGGCTTCTTTTTCTCGATACTCCTTCTCCACATGATAAAATTTCTCCCATTGTTTTAGCAATGATAGAAATTCTTTTGGATTCACTGCATGACAAACTCTGACTTGACAGTTTCTGGATTAATGTTTTGTATCCCAAATGATGACAATCACATGGTGACAGATCAAGACTGTAAGCTGGGTGATCCAGAATTTTCCAATCAAATCCATTAATTGCCCCACCATGCCCAGGACCATGCTATGACATTTGCTAAAAGACATAGTATCATTCTCCAGGCATAGTATCATTGCCGAAATGATGGAAATGTCAATGTGTGGAAGGAAAGTACCTAGAGAAATAAACATAAATTAAGATTATGTAACATGGTTCAATTGCTATTATTGAAATTCCAGACAGAAGTTGAATCGCTGTTGTATTTGGAAAATATTTACATTAAACATTGTTTATTTGTCTATTTGTAAACTGGTTTTAGAACAAAATTAATTTGAAGTTATTCTCAGACTAGATCTTACCTGCATGGCCTCGGAATTTTCTGACTGCTACCGATTTTGCAACGTCCCATAAAAATATCAATTTGTCCATTCCCCCGGAGGCAATCTGTGCATTGTCACATGATCCTTGGGCATCTAAAACTTCATATCCGTGACCCGAATACGACTGCAGAAGAGTTCCCGTAAAGGGATTCCATAATTTAAGCGTCTTATCGCTACCGCAAGTCAAAGAATAATTGCCGTCAACTAAAAAGAGAAAACTTTTAAATTATAAGAGTATAATTTTCAATTCTTTTTAAGATTTATTATAAATTAACTATTCATTTTTCATTGAAATCTAATATATTTCAGACAATAAATATTTCAAATAACTGTATATTAATTTTTTTATGTCATTAAACTGCAGCCAATTGATTAATTTATTAACATATACTTCTTATATACAGGGTGAGGCAAATCCTTTTATCTTGAGCAATGACAGTAATTGGGTGGGATCTACTTTTCGACGAGGGTGACTTTTGCAGCTGCCATCTTGAATGCAGCTCACAGTTTTAAAATGGGAAGGGTATCAATAAATTGGTACAATTACATCTCTGAATGAAACAGTCGAGTCCTTATCAGAGCTGTAGACCATACCCATAGGAGCAAAAAGTCAAAGGAACCATACAGGTGACCCTTAGCCAGATATAGCCCCACAAAGCAGCCTACTTCTGGGTTGGGAGTAATCTGATAGTCTGATCAGGAGTTGCATCACTCCAATCAGACTATCACGTTTAACTATTTAGCTCACATGATTACGGCAGCTTTAGTAGCCCACTCGAATGTTTGTGAAGTACTTGATATTATATAGTTTTAGGGGGTGTGGGGGCTCACCCTCATGCAGCACTGAGGTGCGAGTGTCAGCGAGCACCAAAATGCACAACTACATACAGGGCATCATTCCAGGACTGCTAACATTTGCTTTGACCGACATGGCACACGGGAAATGAGCAGTAGTTCCAGTTCTTGGTAAAAACTGACTTTTGGAAGAAAATATCTCGCAAAGGGTCGCACTTACAGGTATGGTTCCATTGACGTTTTGTTCGTACAGGGAGACTATAACTCTGGGAATGGTAAATCTCTCATCCAGAGTTCACATCTTACCGTTATTCACAGTTCTATATCTATCTATTACAATGAAATGAAAAATTTACATATATTTACTATATAATATAAAAACAGTCTACAGTTTGCATCCTACTGTATAATGAAAGTAGATACATAATGCATCTTTCTGCTCATTCTGTCATCTACATAAGCTCATTACTTGTAACATACAGCCTCTTGGTAAATAGTGAATGAATGAGCCTATACTCATTAGTATTTGTGGCTATTACGGTGCGATATGCATTTTAATAGGATAGGTTAGCAAGATCAATTGGTTGAAGCTGATTTTTAAATATCATTTAGATCTAACGAATAAACAAACATACCATTAAATCTAACAGCCCGAACAGCTCCTTGTTTACAATCCAAATGGAGAGTATTGTGAATTGGCAGAGGCATGATCAACTCATTTTCGGGAATCTCGGAGACAGCATGGCATATAAATTTCATAAACAAACTCTCAAGTGTTGCCAGATAAACAATTATTATCAGGTAGTGACGTTAAGAAATTTCAAGATATATAATGATTCAGGTTAATAATAATTTAAATATTTTATTAATAAATAATAAATAATTAATTTAATTTAGATATTTAAAATTTATTATCCCTTAACATAATGATAACTTAAGGGTTTTCCTCCTAAATTTGGAGGGAAATCATCAAGACGGAGGGAAATTTAGGGAGAAAATGTACAGTAGGCCCCCTATAAAACGTCTTTATATAATATGGATTCGTATATAACGGCGAAAAAATTGCGACAGTATTCGTACAAACATGCTAAAAAACTCCTATAATTCGGTAAAACGACATCGTCGACTCGTGACGCGACAGGATTGTTCGAATCTAGACCAATAGCAGATATTGCACAAACCGTTGAGTTTGTTACGGTAAGATCTGGCAACACCAGAGAGAGCGCGGCACGTGCAAGACAGACGGCCATGTTTAATGTATGCGAGTGTAGATCGTCCGTTCCGAATAAACCCTGAATAAAGTATTCAGAGTAAGTGTTTGCGTTCCTGTCTTACTGGGGGTCTTAAGTGCGTCACGGACGGCGTGGAAACACAAAGAAAACCATATAAAACATGGTGGCAGCGGATAATTAAGCCAGTAAAGGAAACGAGGCTTAACGAACATGCGCCTGCTTAACTATACAAGTAATTAGAAACTTCGTTCAAAGGTTGACGCTGCGGCAGACAGACAGTCTCCTTTATATAGTAATATAACGATTACTTTAAAGTACCAGAAAAAAAAAAAAAGAAAGAAAGCGAGATGAATAGTTTAACTCCTCCGGAACCATTTTCCATGGACACGTCGAATCCAGAAAATTGGAGTCTATGGAAGCAACGATTTGGTATTTATGCAACGGCTATAGATTTACCTGCAAAAAGTATTCCGCAGCAGAGAGCTATCCTGCTCCATATTATCGGAGAAAAAGGCTTAGAAATATACAATAATTTCCATTTAGACGAAAATGCCACGAATCNCAACAAATTTTTTGCAGAAAAACACGCACCCGCCGTTCGATGCGACGCTCCACGACGAAAACAAGCTTAAGCAATGGCGTCGCCGAACGATGCACACTCGGTAAGTAATTCTATAATTTTTTGTTTATAGCATCGTTTATACGAATTATTCCCCAAAAAAAATTATACGTGTTTTGGAAACGATGAGCCAAATTAGTCTAGAATCGATTAATTTTATGGAAGAAAACCTTTCAAACAGCCGTAGTTCATAAACTGCACACGTGACGGGCTGTTATTGGCTCGTGTATTTAAGGACTCGTACAACATGAATTTCATAAAACACGGAACGTATTTACCGTGTTATAGGGGGGTCTACTGTACAGGTGATACTGCTACTATTGTTTGACCGTTAGAAATGTGGTGATACTTCAAACGTTCGCCACCAGGTGCCGTCTCATCAGGAAGTCTACTCAG